AAATTTGATTGGCTGTTTATAGTAGATCCAATCTGATTGGTGTGACATACATACATCTCTCACTCACCCATTGACCCGTAACATGCCCGACGCGCCGACTAAGAGGTATTTTTTACAAAAAAAATAACTCAACAAATATGAAGAAAGGAGGGAACTTGGGGCGAGGACAAACGCACTCGGGATCGGAGTGGAGGGAAGAGAGGAAACAGCGTTACACTCTATCGCGCACATGCTGAGAAAGACTTGCTGTGAAATGAAATGTTTTAGTTTGGTTCAACTAAAACACTTCAAAAAGTCACCCTGAAAACTCGAGTCCTGTTAGTGCAACGGCTTAGTTTGTTGTTCAGCTACACATTTTACCGGGTGTTTGACGAATTGAAGGGTTTACTCACCCAAAACTTGTTCAACGATCAAAACATATCCCCCGAAATGACGTACACGTCATGCGAATTCTGTCAGGCCAGAACAAACACATTTAGTACAACCATAGGAAATGTTTAATTTTCACGAGGACTTCACAATGCTCATGTCAAAGAAAAAAAAATTGACGCTGGACAGTCGAAAAATTACAAATGAAGTATTTGTATTTCAAAGTGTGTTTCAGCGTATATTTTGCTGTTGCCTCGTCAGCCTCGCCGAAGTCGACAACTCAAAAAACGAAACTTCACTCGTTACAAGAATTCAGCACTTCTGGTGCAGTTAAATTCGATTCATTTGCTTTGACCAGGCCCCTCTGGATATCAGCCTCGTCGCTGAATGGACCACCCTGGCTAAATAAAGTTTACCTTTACCTTTATCGAGCATGAAACTTTCGCTACTTCCGAAGGGATGTCACAGTGTGTATGCCTGCGTTTGTGTGTGAGAGAGTTGGGTGTAGGGGCGGAGGTGTTGAAAGGAGGGTGGGAGGGGCGATCGGTATTTTCGGCGCTTGACAGTATGTCCCTGACTAAGAGCTTTGACTGAAAAACTGTTCATGTCAAACCTGCCCTTCTGCTCAATTGATGCCAAGAGACACATTCACATGACGAGTACCAAGAGCGCTGAAAATCAGTTCTTAGTCGTAGGTTTATCAATTAAGCCCGGAATAACAACCCAAAAGAGAAATTCGTGAGGTATAAATAAATCATATTTAATGAAATTATTGGTTGGCTCGATGACCACAATGAACAGAACATTTTGTTTTCGTTGCCTCGAGGCAAATCTTAAAAATATTACTGACAAAACTAGAAAAATTCTTGCGACGTGTCAAAACAAGTTAATTTTTGGTGCACACTCCTCACAATATCTCCGACAACAAAAATAAGTGGGACTACGAAAACATACAAAGCTGAAAGAAAGAGTTCAAGAAGCTACATCACGGCTGGCGAATCTTAAAATTAAGCAAGTTCATCCATTCGTAATCCGCGGAGATCCTATGCAAATCTCAACTCTTGGATTTAATTTCAATTTCCCTCTTGATAAAAACGTATTGTCGTGTCTATATCGAAGCCGTGACATAACTGCTTAAAAAGACGAAGTGACCACTGAAAAACCCAGATTGACACGTTTCATGTGTTACGAAAAAATAAACTCAAAAATATATGATCTGTTTTGACCTTCTTGAAATCAACAAAATTAATGAATGCATTCAATATAGATATATCATTGTTTTTGCTCCTATTACAGTTCTACCAACTATTGATTACCGAGTGCAATATATAAATTACCAACAATTGTTTTGTACATAACACCAGTGAAAAAATCAGTCGCCTATTTGAACTGTAGCATTGAAAAACGTAACCAAAGAACATCACGATAGCGAGAAAGAAACTCTTCGATTAAGTGACCTTGTTCAAAACTTGTTTTCAAGTGATAAATGAAGACTAACATTTTGACCTTGGCACTTACTTCGCGTGTGCGGTCTAAGATTCGCTTCTGATTGGCTGACAAGACAACACCTCCAATAAGATTGGTTAAAGCAAGCAGCACGGAATATCGTGAACCAATCAGCAAACACTACAGACATGAAAGCCATTAGAAAGCAACACTATATAAAGATTAAGCTAACGTTAAAGATAAGTCTGTTCTTAAGTCTTTTTATTCAATGCTTCACGTTCTTTCGTACTAAGTGTCCTCCTCCGTATCGCAATCAAGTTCAGAGGGACGTCACTTTAACTCCTCTTTTGCTGGGGTCAAAGTCCTTTTTCTGTTCGCGCCCGGACGTGGTTTTGAACACTCGACGAGAGCTGGGGCTGGATATTGGTGAATCTGTTGAGTCTCGCCTACTTTTCACCATCTGTTTCTTAACAGCGTTCTTATCTGAACCCTTAACAGTAATACTGCGACTGCAATTCCCACAAGCACCACTGGACTTTGTACCTTTGAAATCCGGACGGCGAATCCAGATATTTTGCGTTTGTTCACAGCTGCACGTTGACGAGGCCACGCTTTCGGTATCTACTGAACGAGGCGAATGGACCTTTGGTTTTCCTTTTTGAATCCACGCATTGCTTGCCTCGGGATGACCGGACGCATTCCGAGGATGCCCGAACAGGTGTCGTTCTTCCTCGGAATCTATCTCAAACTCTGAGCCGCTGTCCGAGTCACGGTACGATTTGAACTTTTGTGTAGTGTGTCTGTGGGTAGGTCGTGCGGTGTTGGAGCTGGGTCGAGACGTGGAGGTACCCGGCTGATCTGCTGCTGACTGGCTCGTCATTCTCGACGAATTCGCTTCTTGTGGACCAAACTCCGCCATTTCGTATGTCTCCCCAAAGGAAGTGTTTGTCCACTGGTTTAGTCTGCGAGCTGTTGATGGAGACACCAGGGAGGTGCTATCTCCCTGCTGAGGTTGTCCGCTGCTTCCTTCCATGTTCCTATGCGCCATCACACCTCTGATCCTTGATACCACCGAGGCCTCAGCTGTACTCTTGTCTTTTGAGCTGTCACCTCTCTTGGGCTTGTGTGACACATGTAACGGGTACGAGTCACACAACAGTGGAATTACTGCACAGCCATCGCTAGAGGAACGAGAATGTTGGCGTTTTTCCATTGTTTGTCTGCAGTAGCGAGGGTCGCCATCAAGCCTTTCATAATTTTGCTTAGAGGAAGCATCTCTCCGAGGCTGGCGACGATGCTTGGACAGCGAATCGTTGCTCTGAGTCCACTTCAAATGCGTGTTGTGTCTACTGTCGAGGGACGCACCACTATCTACACTGTTTGAATCAGTGCCACGCGCCTTAGCTCTCCTCTGCCTGCCCGCGAGGGCCCTAGGACCTACATCCGATCTGCTACGCAAGAGCGAAGGACTAGGTTCCACGTCCTGGACGGCACCATGGTTGGAGCTGGAGCTGGAGTGGGCAAGAGAGGCTGATGATCCATTCTTCTTTCTTCCCGACTGCTGCGGATGTGCAACGGCCGCGTCGATGTCTTGTCTGGTGACTGGAATGACGGCAGCTTGGCCTCCTGGGTAGAATGGCTGTGAACCATATTCCTCGGTCTGCTTGGTGACCTGGCCGTGAGGGTACAGGGGCTGGGGAACCTGGCCGGGTTGCATGTTACTCGCCACACTTCCATGCTGAGAGTAAGCGGCAGCTTCGTAATCTTGTTTAGCAGCCTGTCGTACGGCCATGGGGTGCTGGGTAACCTGGCCATGAGGCAATGGAGACTGAGATCTTGGAGAATGATTCCTGACTCTTGCAACGTCACTTTTAATTCTGGCCTGAGCGTCCGCTGACCGCATGGTTGAAGGCATGCTCCGATAGTGTCTGGCAGCTCTGGAGGACACCGATTCGTTGTCCGTGGAACTTCCCGGTTTTACAGCCATCAGGTTGCGTAATGCCGCGGCTGAAGCAGTGGAGATCGCTTTGTGCTTGGAGTTGACAAGAGACTTGAGCAGCGAAACAGCTCCGAGTTCCCAGAGTAACTCTTGATCCTCGACACACCGAGCGGACAAGTTCCACAATGCGCCACATACATTACTAACCACTCTCAAGCTTGGCGAGCGCAGATGGGATAGCACAATTTGAAAGCAACCACTATCACGCAGAGTCTTACGGTAATCTGGTCGCACGGCGATGTGAGAGGAAAGATTTCTCAGGATGCCACCACTGCTCTCTACCACGGAGATGTTCCCTGAGGGACTGGAGTAGTTAAGACACTTGACAAGGAACTTCAAGGCACCTGGTGATGCGCAGATCTCTGCCTTGTTATCAGAGCAGTGAGCTGAAAGGTTCCACAAGGCACTAAGGGTCGTTCTCAACGCGGGTTCTCCATGCACTCCTTGGGCCGCGGACAGCAACGCTTTTATTGCTCCTGCATCGCGTAATGTCTTGCGACAAAGTTCGTCGGCTCTCCAGGAAAGGTTCCTGAGCACACTAGCAGAGACTTGGATGATCTCTTCTTCTTCAACAGTGTACAGCTGAGCAATAATGGCGTCAACAGCGCCAGGAATACTACATAACAGGCTCTTATTTTTGGTGTTGCCGAAGGTCAGGTTGGTAATTGTCATACCCGCATACTTGCGCAGACTGATGCTATAGAAGTCTTTGCATTGTTCGTTCACTTGGTGATCGATTTGGACCAGTTCCGCGATAGCTTGAAGTCCACCAAGTTCGCAAATGGCCGTACGATGATCTTCTTCAAACGACAGTTTCATAAGCGCGGCAATAGCCGGAGCCGGCCCATAATCCATCAGCGGTGGATACCAACGCTCCGCGCAAGGATGCACTGGGAAACCTTTAAACTGCACAACGTCACAGTGCGCACGCGCAATTTCCAAGAGCCTCAAAACTCGTACTTCCCGTCGACCACGCCTATCTTCCACGTTTGAGTAAACGATGTTGTGCAACGCGAGGCCTGCTCGCGCGCGGGCTTCGCGACGTGCATTCTTGTCCGCAAAGTCTTTACCGTGAAGCAGATCAATAAGTAGCGAGAGACAGCCCGATTGCCGCATGGCTGCGCAGCTGTCCTTGCTGTTAGACATGGCTAACAAAGTCCTAGACATATCATCTTTGTCATGAGTTCCTAACATGGATAACAGCGACTGCACCATGTCAATTCGCGTGTCGAGGTCGTGATGAGTCGCCGCGGTGCTGGCGAAGCTGACCACGCTGGACGTTTCCAAACCATCTAATGCGTCGTGCGGTGAATAACAGATGGCTTCCAGACTTGACTGGCTGACACTCCTCATGGGGCCTCTATTGCTAGTGCCCGGCTCGCTTCCATGACGGTTTCTCACGTCTTGGCCACTTCTCATATCCTGGGGAGCAGCGCACATGATTGGTCTTTCTCTGTTGCTAGGCAACGACTGACTGACATGTCTAGCGTCCTCGTTCGGGGTGAGAGATGTCGGCTTGTAAGGTTCTGCAGCAACAGAAGCTATGGTTGAAGTCTGGGTCTGAGTTGCTGTTGGCTTGATGCTTTGTAGCGAGGTTACAGGCGGTTTGTCTATAGGGGGGTTTACATTGACGATGTCTTTTGTGATTAGTGGATCCCCCTGCGCCAGTGCATTACCAGGTAAACCATCAGCTGCCAGGCCTGTTGATAAAATTCCAGACACTTACATTGAGAGCGTATAAAACGTTAACAAACCCAACCTCGTTCCCAGGGTCCTCTCTCTTCCTCCCTCGAGAAAGTACCCTGGTTGCGGCTGGTCACGTATGCCAACCAAAGCCGCACAGAGGGTGGGTCCTCAACTTAAATTTAGTCAGCACTGTCTAGAGAGGTGAACGTTGCGCTGCTATACAGACGTTATTCAATTGAAAGTGAAGCAAGTTGTTTGTCAGAGATCCTACCTGACCAATGCTTCGTCGCTATGATCTGAACTTCTATGAGTATAAGATGCTAATTGAGAGGGAACTTTGCTTATTTTTCAGTGCTTTTTTAAAAACCGTCAACACCCTGCTTCGGATTAGTTTAATCAGTTTTTCACAGCAAAAGAATTAAGTAACCGTCAAATTATCGACGGGATGCATTCAGCTAAATGAGAAGCTAGTTTCTTGGCCGAAAATTGGACTTACCGCAAAAACAGTTTTAAAACGAAAGCCGTTGGATTTTGCAAACGCGCGACCTAAGTCGCTGTTGTCAAGTTCTTCATAGAATTTCTTACAGCAAGAGAACCGAATGACCGTCGAACTGTCGATTGGATGAATTCAATCAAATTCAAAGCTAGTCTCTTGGCCCAACACTGGACGTATCAAACTCTACTCGAAGGCATCAATGTCTCCGTTGTGATTTTGCCGATCGAAAAATATAAGCTGCTTAATCAAGTTATTAGTATTCAGCACTCAGTCGTTGTTGATGTCAA